AATACAAGCATTCTGGTACCCGAGACAGATCATTGCAGGACAGGTCCACGTCTACACAGAAACACAAAAGATTCATTATACATGGAGCAACAGCAATTACAGATACTGATGATTGTTTTACAGAGAGCAAAGTAACACCCCTGGATCTCTACCTGCTAGATTGGTGAGGCCCTCCAGACTCGTGGGCATATTATTCTGAGTACGCTGAGTGTTCCTTAAATGGAGGGTTTGAAGGGCCACCATAGCAGGTAACTGCCTGTTACGACAAAGGCACACAAGCGACACAGAGTTTATCAGAGTCAATGCTGATAACACAATGATGTCATCTGAAATGAATGTAGCCTTCCTCCTATTTGGCAGTGTACAAACAAAATCTGTGATTTACAGAAATAAATCAAATTGTAAAAACCATCTGTCTTACCTCAGCTGTGCATGCATTAGTGGATTATTATTAAGTATGAGGGTCTGCAAATGGACCAAGCGTCTCATCTGAGGAGGAAGACTGTCCAAATTATTGTCACTTAGGTCCAGGTACAGCAGATCAGTGAGGTTAATGAACAGCTGATTTGGTATGTTATCAATGCTGTGAGAAAGAGCAAACATCAGAAATGAGTATCAGATTACACGTTCACAGAAATCCATGGTTAAAACCATTATGACCTCAAAATTACCAAAAAAAAAAAAAAAAAACGATGTGGAGAAGTCACGTAAATATTCCACTTTTTGACTTTTTGTCATGTTTTTATCAGGTAGAACTTGTGGGTAAAAATATTTTTTAAAAATCATTATTCATACTTATCCAGTAAATCACAAACACTTGGAAATGTCATGGGGCCTTCAAATACAGTTGTGGACAAAATGTGGGGGCCTTGGAGGTAGACAGGTTGAGAACCACTGATATAGATGGATGCTGCATTGGGTCTTTTTTCAGCATCTTGCACCATGTGCATAGCATTTCTAAGATGATGTGTGAAGTTAAAAATAGTTCAACTTTTCTCAGTCTCAAGATACCCGTTTTTTTCCATTCCTTCAGTAGCACTTAGTCTAGCTATTACTGGGCACAAAAATGCATCCTTTGAGTAGGCCCCCAAACCATCCCCAAGATCTCTTCCAAAATACCATTGTAACGGATCACAAAATGTAAAAAAAAAAGAAAAGAAAAATTGAATAAAAGTGTTTTCTCATGAGTAATCATCATTCCTCAATTCCAAGAACATGAGTACAAAATAGAAAGACTAACCTATTGTGACTGAGGTTTAAGACTAACATGTTCCTGGAGTTCTCCAAGTCCCGAGGGATTTCTGTTAGTTGGTTGTAGCTCAGATCCTGAACAGAAGAGGAAACAACACATCTAAACACACATATCTTTTACCATAATACAGCACACAATCTATGACAAATTTACATAGTTTCACTAATCAAGACACAGACCTGTTTACATCAAATTAAATCATGCACTTAACTGAGATATATACTTCATCCACCTAAGAGAGAAATAAACACAAAGTAATTCTCTACATACCAGCACAGAAAGATCATCCAGCTGAAAAATATCATCAGGAACACCAGAGTTCTTCAAGTTGTTAGCTCTGGCCACAACTGCCTACAGCAAAACAACAAGGGCAGATTAAATGCTGGTCTGAGCACTGAAAATATATATAGTAAAACTGTGGAAAATAATGCGGTGTTGATTCAAAATGCAGTTCAAATATTTGGGGTCAGTAAGATTTTTTAACATTTTTGAAAGACGTCTTATGCTCACCGAAGCTGCATTTATTTGATCAAAAATATTTTACAATATATAAAACATTTTATAAAATAAAATATTTTTAATTTGTAATTTATTCGTGTGATTGCAAAGTTGAATTGCTCCATTATTCCAGTCTTCAGTGTCAAATAATCCTTCAGAAATCATACCAATATGTTGATTTGGAGCTCAAGAAATTTTTTTATTATTATCAGTAGCAATGCTTTACATTTCCTGTCTCTGGCGTTTCTAGTCAATTAACGTATTTTCCGAGCTGATAATATAACGTTAAACCTAAGAAAATGTTTTTAAAAAGCACATGGCACCATAGCTTCATTACTTTACAGTGTAGCAATGACTGTCTTTTTGCAGTAATCCACTTGTCATAGTTTGATGAGTGGGCAGATGACATGAAGCGACACGAGGTTAGCTGCATTGAAAACACGAGCGCACATATCCTACATACAGCTCCCGATCGGGCGAAGTTCGAGGGATTTTGTCCACAAAGTGATAAGAGCACATATTATTTTATAATTTCACACACAGTATTTTAACTTGTAGGTGCTTCAAGCCATGCTCGTTTCCTCTTGTCAGCGTTTGACATAGAACGCAAGGCATACAGCGCCAGACACGGACAGATTGTTACTGTGGCAGCCAACGACAGTACAGCTTAACCTTGCGCACATTTTTATATTTAGTTGTAGGGCTGCACGATAAATCGAAATGGAATCGAGATCGCGATTCGACAGAAGCTGCGATTTTCATGCGTTGCATTGAAAAAGTTTCATTTTAATTAATTCAGTCGATCTTTTTACCCCGTTTTAACATGGGTTTCCAAGTTAGAATCCTTCATGGCAGCACTCATCGGTTACTCAGGAAAAATATGGAAACTTTTTCATGATTCTTTGATGAATAGAAAGTCCAAAAGAGCAGCATTTATTTGAAATATAATATTATTAAACATTAAACAAAACATTACTAGAAATATTTTGAAATATTATAAATGTCCTTATTGGCAAAAGTTTTTGTTCACTTCTTTCAAAAAACAACAACAACAAAACTTCTGACCCCAAACTTTTGAACGGTAGTGGATGTAAACAGTTACGTTAATATTTAAATATCCTTATGTAAAATGTACATGTGAGAGGAACATGTGATATATTTCACAGTATTACGAAATATTTCACATTACCCTCAGGTTGGGAAGACTTGACAATTCTCCATGCAGCGTCGTCAGGCTGTTGTGACTCACGGACAAATGTTCCTGATTTCACACAAAAGAGCAAAAAAGACCCAAGATTGAGCATTAGTAAGTTGACAGTCTAATTGCGAAATATGAAATTGTGACTCAGCTGTGAAATCGACAATCACCAGTTTCTGCAGGGAGGACAGTTCCTCTGGAAGATAGCAAAGCCCCGTTCTGTTCAGCTTCAGCCATCGCAAGCTGGTCATAGACTTGACATGCTCAGGAAAATAACCCCCCTGTGTTCAACAGAAGAGATACAAGTATTACAGTCTCAAATCAGACCATCATGAGCCACATGAGTCAGCTTCGGTGTTAGTGATTTGGCCGTTTTTGATGGATCTGCTACACTGATGTAATTTTCCAAACAGTCTTACTTGCTTCAGTCTGAAGCCTAAATTTGATCTAAAACAAGCTAAACCTGGTACAATGATGTCATTTAAAGACAGAAAATTATGGGGTGTGTTTGCTATGGCAACAACATGAGCCTGAGCTAGAAAACTTGCATGCTGTTCACACAGTCATCTCAAGATGAGTACATCTGCCTGAAGTGGCTTTATATAAGACAGACTCAGAGAGCATCAGTGCAAATTTACTCAAGTGAACCAACACACTTGAGAGCTTGTGTAATACCGCTAAAGGAACTCGTGTAAGAGAACTCTGTATAGAACATATTCAATGCTTTAAAAATCTTCGTTCTCATATGCATACTGATAAACTCTCTAGTCTAAAAGCTGCAGCAACATGTTTTGAAAGCCAGTGCGTCAGCAGCGCAGTTCATTTATCGAGGCCAGACGCGTTACAAAGTAACACCCAACACATCTGACTCGCTAACAAACTTCTAGTTATTTCCTTGCTGTCACACAGCTTGACCTGACCGCGACAAATTTTGACAAGTCGCAAGCTAACGCCCAGTGTTCTTCTAAGCTAGCAGTTAGCGCTGCTAGCTCACCATCTCAACCTGTTTTGACACACTAACTAGCCTTCATCACTTTCCTCGCTTGAACTAATAATTTATTAACAAAACCCAGTACAAATAGACGTATTAAAGCAGAACTCTTACCTTAAAGTCATTCCCACTTAGGTCTACTCCCCTGATAAAGGGGAGAACTCCGGTCGCGGCCATGTCTAATTCAGGATATGGCTTCAGTCGCAGACGCAGCCTATCTCTGTTTTGGCAGCGGCTGCTGATGGATCAAACACTCCCACGCCCTCCGCTCACATGGTACAGCCCACTAACTACTCAGCGTTACCAACCACTCACAAAAAAAGTTATTTCTGTTTCGCTAAAACTGCTACTTAAACCCGCTAAAACGTGCTAAGCTACACCCTGCTGCAGTTGACTCAGAACTGACTCATTGCTGAATCATTTGCAGTGCCTTAGATACACTGACAGGGCCTGGGACAAAGATAGGATGGGTTGGATGACTCTACTGGGATAATGGGCCCCCCTCATCCTAGGGGCCGTTACAACATTCCCAGTTGTTCAACCTGGACAGTATTGGTAATTTGTGGGATTTTTCTTCTTCTTTTTGGAGGTCTGGAGTAACATTTTATGCTACTGAGTTCATTTAACATTTACATTATATATATGCATTTAGCAGACTTAAAAAAAGCAAGTGTCAACAATATATAAAAGTATATGTAATAATACTTAGATGTAAATGTACTGCATGTCAACATAATTACTATAGGACTAACAATAGGAAAAAAACTTGCATAAAATACATATTGTTCATTAGTATTACTCACTACTCACTGTAATGACACTATAATGTAAAATGACCAATTATGGTATTTAAAATGCATTATTAACTTTATCTGATAAATCTTTTAGTTCAGCATTTTACATTTTAGATTGTGTGACACTGCTGTAGGTCTTGCAATATGTAAACAATTTACACAATTTACTTTTAATTACTTATAAAGTAATGTTTTACTTAAAATAACTTTATTTTACACAATACAATTTATTATACATATAAAAAATAATTATACATTTGATATGATTGATTTCATTTACATACATATTTTTCATTTGACAAAAATCGCATGAACCATTTATTTTCATGTTCCCTGTGGACAGGTGACCCGTGTGTGACCCGGCTCATGACATATTCCACAGGTTCTCGGCCTTTTGGCAGTGGGAGGCTTGTTTGAGGTAGTGCTGGCCTTTTTGTTCCCAGGATGTCTGGCACCATTTCCTCCAGAGAAATCTGTGGCTGAAAAAGTGACAGAAAATCGAAATTATTAGCAAAAAAGACAATATTGAAGAAATTATTGCCAGATGAAATATTTACATATCTTGGAACTCATATAAAACAATCCCTAACTGTTGTTTTCTTCCTCCACAAAATGTAGCTCAATGGAACACAATCAAAGCCAACTGGGACATACTTGATTAATATGTGGACTAGATTTTGCAGCACAAACCGACATGACGACTGCGCCTGACAAAATGTCTAAAAAAAAGTGTCGCACTTGATTTTAATATATTTTAAAATGTAATTTATTCCTGTGATGGTAAAGCTGTATTTTCAGCATCATTACTCCAGTCTTCAGTGTCACATGATCCTTCAGAAATCATTCTAATATGCTGATTTGATTTAATATACTTGAGATTTGATGCTCAAGAAACATTTCTTATTATTATCTTATGCTGAAAACGGCTTAATATATGAGAGGAAACCATAAAACATTTTTATCTGGATTTTCTGATGAATAGAAAGCTTAAAAAACACCATTTATTTGCAATAGAAATCTTTTGTAACATTATAAATGTCTTTGATCAATTCCTTGCTGAATAAAAGTTAATTCCTTGCTGAATTAAAAATCTTACTGACTCCAAACATTTGAACAGCAGTCTATGTATGAATGATCCTCTTCAACATATTCTGATCATATTTTGCCCATGTATAATAAATTGTCAGTGCAAAACATCATAGACAGGCATTATACCTGGAGCCACATTTTCGTTCGCCCACTGGAAGAACCCACACTGCTGATCACGTGGTTTCCCGCAGGTGTGGAACATTCGCCCCTTGTTTGGCCCATCTTTCATGACGGCCCTGGTCACTGCAGGCTCATTACAGTTGCACATAGTTTCACCATCATCACCTCCAGATCCTCTGTTGTTTTGCCTCTGCTGAGGTACGTTCCCAAAGCCAATTGAGGGCCTGGGAGGTTGGGAATTCTGACTCAGGGGTCCACTGCTCCCTCCGGGCGCTGCCTGCTCAGCTGGCTGATCAGCCCACAGGAAGAACTTACAGTCTCCTGTGGTACACTTGTAGAACTGACGGCCTTGATTGGGACCCTCTTTGCGAACAGTGAGAAGAATGGCATCCTGACCACAGTTACACACAATGGCACCGCCCTGGGCTGAAGCTGGTGGTTGTGTTGCCCGTGGAGGTGGCAGACTGGCTCTGGGTGCTGGAGGTGTGACCCTGGATGGAGGTGCTGAGTTGGTTCTAGGTACATGATGCTGATTTGATCCAGAGCCGTTATGTGCCCGAGAGCCAGAATCTGCTACTCCTCCTCGGATGTATTTCAAGTTTAAGACCTCTCTGAGAGTCTCATCACATCCTCCAATGCATCCAACAAATTCAAGGGGCATCGTAGGTGGCAAACTTCCTCTCTTGAATTTAAGCTTCAGCCTGTCAAGAATTTTATGAATAAAACCAAAACATTATTTAAAATGACCATATTTACTTTGCTAATTCACCCTTATTGTCCATGATTTTTTAGTGCAAGTTTGTTCACATTAGTTAATACAGTAGAAATCATGAACTAACAAATGAACAACATTTTTTAACATTTATTAATCTAGGTTAATGTTAATTTACAAATATATTGATGTATGTTGATAATTCATGTTCGTTCATAGTACCAAAAAAATATTTTACAATTTAAAATAAATATTAAATGCTGTAAAAGTATTATTCAATGTTTTATTTTTCATATTAGCTACTGCATAAACTAACGCTAACATATAAAACCTTATTGTAAAAATGTCACCAAAAATACAATACTGTTCAAAGTTTGGGGTCAGCATGATTTCTTTTAAGTTTTGAAAGAAGTCTCTTATGCACATCAAGGCTGTTTTTTTATTGAAAATAAATAAAATACAGTAAAAACAGTAATATCGTGAAATATTATTACTATTTAAAATAACTGGTTTCTATTTTAATATATTTTAAAATGTAATTTATTTCTGTGATGACAAAGCAGATTTCAAATCAGCAAGACTTTCAGAAATCATTAGATACGATTTTTGTGGAAACAGTGATACATCAGGATTCTCTGATAAGTAGAAAGTTCAAAAGAACAGCATTTATTTAAAAAAGAACTTTTTTGTAACATTGTGAATGTCTTTACTGTCACTTTTGATCAATTTAGTGAATCCCTGCTGAATAAAAGTACTAAAGGTGCACTAAGCGATTTTTGCCAAACGATGTTGATATTTGAAAGCACCAAAACAAACACGCCCATACCCCAACAGGACCTCGCCCTTATTTTGAAATCTCCGCCCCATACGAATGTACACAACCATGGCAACGACGATCATGGAAACAAGCGAAGATGAAACACAAGCATATTCAAACAAAAGCCAACACGGATAAGTTGTGTGAAGCGAAGCAAAATCAGCGTTACTCACCTATCAAGAAGAAAAAACAACGCAACCTAGGCGTCCGATTCGAGCCCTTCTCGCTCCTTGAGTTTCTCTCCACTGCTGGAAAGCTGCTCCGATATTTACTCCACAGGTTCTCGGCCTTTTGGCAGTGGGAGGCTTGTTTGAGGTAGTGCTGGCCTTTTTGTTCCCAGGATGTCTGGCACCATTTCCTCCAGAGAAATCTGTGGCTGAAAAAGTGACAGAAAATCGAAATTATTAGCAAAAAAGACAATATTGAAGAAATTATTGCCAGATGAAATATTTACATATCTTGGAACTCATATAAAACAATCCCTAACTGTTGTTTTCTTCCTCCACAAAATGTAGCTCAATGGAACACAATCAAAGCCAACTGGGACATACTTGATTAATATGTGGACTAGATTTTGCAGCACAAACCGACATGACGACTGCGCCTGACAAAATGTCTAAAAAAAAGTGTCGCACTTGATTTTAATATATTTTAAAATGTAATTTATTCCTGTGATGGTAAAGCTGTATTTTCAGCATCATTACTCCAGTCTTCAGTGTCACATGATCCTTCAGAAATCATTCTAATATGCTGATTTGATTTAATATACTTGAGATTTGATGCTCAAGAAACATTTCTTATTATTATCTTATGCTGAAAACGGCTTAATATATGAGAGGAAACCATAAAACATTTTTATCTGGATTTTCTGATGAATAGAAAGCTTAAAAAACACCATTTATTTGCAATAGAAATCTTTTGTAACATTATAAATGTCTTTGATCAATTCCTTGCTGAATAAAAGTTAATTCCTTGCTGAATTAAAAATCTTACTGACTCCAAACATTTGAACAGCAGTCTATGTATGAATGATCCTCTTCAACATATTCTGATCATATTTTGCCCATGTATAATAAATTGTCAGTGCAAAACATCATAGACAGGCATTATACCTGGAGCCACATTTTCGTTCGCCCACTGGAAGAACCCACACTGCTGATCACGTGGTTTCCCACAGGTGTGGAACATTCGTCCCTTGTTTGGTCCATCTTTCATGACGGTCCTGGTCACTGCAGGCTCATTACAGTTACACATAGTTTCACCATCATCACCTCCCTCTCCTCTGTTGTTTTGCCTCTGCTGAGGTACATTCCCAAAGCCAGTTGAGGGCCTGGGAGGTTGAGAATTCTGACCCAGGGGTCCTCTGCTCCCTCCGGGCGGTGCCTGCTCAGCCGGCTGATCAGCCCACAGGAAGAACTTACAGTCTCCTGTGTTGCACTTGTAGAACTGACGGCCTTGATTGGGACCCTCTTTGCGAACAGTGAGAAGAATGGCATCCTGACCACAGTTACACACAATGGCACCGCCCTGGGCTGAAGCTGGTGGTTGTGCTGCCCGTGGAGGTGGCAGACTGGCTGGGGGGCGGCTGCCGTTGGCTCTGGGTGCTGGAGGTCTAACATTCTCCACCCTGGATGGAGGTGCTGAGGTGGTTCTAGGTACATGATGCTGATTTGATCCAGAGCTGGTATGTGTCCGAGAGCCAGATTCTGCTTCTCCTCTTCGGATATATTTCAAGTTTAAGACCTCTCTGAGAGTCTCATCACATCCGCCGATGCATCCAACAAATTCAAGGGGCATCATAGGTGGCAAACTTCCCCTCTTGAATTTAAACTTCAGCCTGTCAAAGATTATATGAATAAAACCAAAAGCAGTATTTAAAATTACCCTCTTTATTTTGTTAATACACTACCTATATTATTGGCCATGATTTTTTTTTGTGCAAATTTGTTCACATTAGTTAATGCAGTAGAAATCATGAACTAACAAATGAACAACATTTTTAGCATTTATTAATTTAGGTCGGGGTCGGCAACCTTTTGGGCATGAAGTTGCGATTTTACATTTTTCTGGTTAAACACTAAGCCAATAAACCAATAAGCCAATCGCGTAGTGTGACTGAAGCTAAATGGACGGACGCGCAGCGGTCGCACGAATTGTTTGCCAGAGCCACATGCATCTGTAGACTATAGCAGGTTAATTATCACACTTTTATAGTATTTATAGCTCCTAACCCGCTGTGTGACTACGAGGAATGATTACCTCAAAATGTATGTTGGAATGCAGTTTTCCCTATTGCTCGCGTGCCAGTTATTATCCCTCTGCAAGCCATAGGTTGCAGACCTCTTCATAGTACAGAAAAAATGATTTTACAATTTAAGTTAATTTACACAACTTACACAATTAATATAGATAGAAATAAATATTAAATGCTGTAAAAGTATTTTATTTGATTTTATTTCATATTAGCTACTGCATGAACTAATGCTAACATATAAAACCTTATTGTATAAATGTTGCCAAAAATACACTACTGTTCAAATGTTTGGGGTCAGTAAGTCTCTTATTCACACCAAAGTCGTATTTATTTGATCTGAAATACAGTAAAAACAGTTATATATTGTGAAATATTATTACAATTTAAAAGAACTGCTTTCTATTTTAATATATTTAAAAATTGTATTTATTCCTGAGATGGCAAAGCGGAATTCTGAAAATCAGCAAGATTTTCAGAAATCATTCTAATATAATGATTTGATACTCAAGGAACATTTCTTCTTATTATTAATGTTAACAGTTTTTACTGCTTAAGATTTTCGTGGAAAATGATAAATTTTTTTCAGGATTCTAAATAGAAAGTTCAGTTGATTCATAGAAAGTTCAAAAGAACGGCATTTATTTGAAAATAAATTTTTTGTAACATTGTAAATGTCTTTATTGTCACTTTTGATCAATTTAATGCATCTCTGCTGAATAAAAGTTTTTTTTTTTTTTTTTAAACGTTACTGACTCCAAACCTTTGAACTGTAAGTGGCTCAGAATATTAAAATGACTACAAAGCAACATAAGAACCACAATCCTTACATATGCACTGGATGTGGACGGCAAGTTGGACAGACGCTTTCGTCTCTGCTGACCTCCAGAACTGTGTCTGGAAACCACACGGCTGCTTTACAAGCTGGATATCCCATACATGAAAGAAACATCCTGCACATAAAAAGGGTGATCAAAATAAATGAATAAACTACAATCCATTTCAGTTAGATTAACACATGGTGTTGTCTCACCCTGTGCCGTCTTTCTTCTTCTTCAGCACCATGTCACGGTTACACTGAGGACACTTTCGCACTGGTAATGGTATCTCCATTTCTCCTTGCTCCTGTTCGGTAATCTCCTGAGCAGGGCCGAGATAATTTGACAAAGCCTCATCCAATCTGCAGAAAATATGACAAAAACACTCAATTCAAATTTGTAAGTAAAATGTAACCGGCAACTACTCCGAGTACAGCTGGAACAAACAAAAGTAGAGCTGTATATCTTGTTGATCTTTGCAGTATAAGTCAAATTGAAAAGAACTAATGTTATATTCAGACTCACTTTTTTGCCTTCCTCACAGACTCAATAAAAACAGCCTTGTATTTTGCCACGTGATAACTGAGGACAGAAGCTTTGTCCTTTCTGCCCTCTGACACAAGTTTAAGGTCCGCCTCCAGCTCCGCTCTCAGGTCTGGTTTAGACATCTCATACCCCATTGAGTTATACCCTGAAACAATGTTACACTCGATTTCACACAAATCACAGGTATTAAAGGGGTCATATGATGCGATTTCAAGTTTTCCTTTCTCTTTGGAGTGTTACAAGCTGATTGTGCATAGATAAGATCCCTGAAGTTGCAAAGACTAAAGTCTCAAAACCAAAGAGATATTCTTTATCAAAGTTAAGACTCTGCCACGCCCCCCTAAAACGATAATGTACAGTATTTGAAAAAGAATGTGTTTTTTGAACATTAAAGCATGTCAACATATTCTGTTACACCAAATACACAAAATAATGATCTTTAAAAAAGCATCATATGACCCCTTTAAACCATTCTTTGACTTCAATACTACTAATATGCTGATCGCATTACCTTCAACGAGACCCATGCCAAGTTCTCCAGGAAGGAACCTCTGGTCAGCCGTCAACCCCACATACATGCGACTCTTTATGGTCTCAATGTGTTCAGCATGTGTTGCATCAGTACCTGCAGCAACAACTCAAGTTAAGTGTCACATTACTAACTCTTTTTTTTTAATAAATGATGTAAAATATTCAAGGTACAATACTGGACTGATATGTTTCAGTACCAATGCCATGTTTCTCCATTAGCGATATCAAGTCGGCCTCTGTCAGAAGCTGTGGTGGACTGGTCTGTCCTTCCACCATCTCAATCGCTGTGGGCTGGAACATGGTGTCAGCCGTATATAATGGAATAACCTGTGCAAAAAATTTAAAAAAAGAGGCATATAGGCTCCAAATTACTTCTAGTGAAATCGAAGGACAAACTGGTGTGACAATTTCAAACAAAATCAGGCCAAAAAAAT